CAAAATTTTATTGGTTAATAATCACGTGTAGTTTTATAAATTTAGTTCCAGTTCCAATTAATATAGTTCCACTGGACAGTCCAGTCCAGTCATGGTCCAGTGGAATGGTCCAGTCCAGTGACCAACACTGATTATACCGGTATAAACGCGAATAACTCGAATAAAATAATTAAAAATCATATGATTCGAGTACCCCTCTGAGTCGTCAGACACCAGCGCTAGTATTGAGTACTATAAAAATATAAAGTTACCAATTATATATCTAACATACTTTAGAGAGAAATTGATCTATTTAAATAAAAAAAAAGATTCCAAAGTAAATTCTTTTTGGACATATTGAACATCAATTTGATTTTTTCGATAAACACTTGGAGTAATAAAAATTCAATTAAATTAAAATATTAACGTCGTGAACTAAATCTTATTACGATTTAAATAGGCCTACATCATTAAGTATTACTCTAAACAATTCATGATTCGCACATTTTTATATTCTATTGAACTTTACAAATAAATAAAAAAAGCATTTAAATAAATATGAATACGTATATTCATAAATTAAAAAGATCGTTGGCAACAACTTTGATTCTAATTTTCAAGCAATCCTTCATATGAGATATAAGCCATGCGTATAATACTCCCATCACCTCAAGCTACGTATACATATTTATTCCTATTATCCTTACTCCGTTGAATATATTGTTTTTCTAGTAGCTGCTCAATGCACTTTTTAATCATCGGCATACTAGGATTGAATCGTGACTTTGCCTGATTAATGACTTCTTGTACTAATGATGTATGTGTCAAAGACTTGCGTGATTTCATCACTCGAACAATAGACGCCTAAAAATATTTTTTAATAATGATTAAAAATATTCAATAAGAAAACTTATATTTGTGAACATTACTTTACCTGCAGATAAAGTTTACGATCTTCATCAACTGATCTTCGCGTAGCATCATTTTCTTGGTGAGTTTCAGTTTGCAGAGAAGAACTGATCTTGATTTTATTACGTTTACTATGATATTAATAATTTTTATTAGTAATTGATTGTTATGAAAAATGTCCTTAGCGATAGAATATTTAAATACTTTGTGAATCCCATGTTTAGTTTCACTTCTGTATCATCTTGCAATGTTCCAGATGTTGAAACCAAAAATACTGATAAATCAATCATGGGCTATGAAAAAAAATTTGATATTAAAAAATGCAAATAGAACAAATTTTTGGATTAAAAAATTTTTATTGGCACTCACCTTCATGACCCTTTTCAACTCTAAATCATTCAAACCCGTGTGTTCACGTATATCTCTAAATGAATATGCGTCTACATTGTTAAACAATAGTAGAACACCGAGTTGGTGAAGAGACACTGAAAACTCGTAACGTTTATCAAGATAATTCAACTTTACATCAGCTATAAAAAAAAAAACAAAAGTAACCGTTTATTAAAACAAGTAAATAAATCAAATATTGTTATTTATATTACTAGATTGTACCTTTGGATAAATGCCATAACCAT